CCTGTTCTAGTTTTGGTTTTTTTAGTCTTTTTGTCTTATTTTCTCTTGGCTTTGGGGTTCCTATAAATAACCCCACATATCCTCGGTTCTAAAAACTAAAGAAAAAGTTTTACAAGGGTTTTAAAAAGTTTGTTTAGTTTGTTTAAAGGTGTTTAAGCCTTGTTTAAGAGTTTCATTTGTGAAGATAATTTCACAAGAGCAAGTGAAGATCATCTATTGATGTTTGAGCATTCAACTCTTCTCCCTCTCTCTTGTTATCTATAGAGAAGTTTTCTAAACTCAATTTCTAGCTTTGTATTTACATTGTTTATTGATTATCATCTCTATAAGGTAGATTTTCATAATTGAGTTTAGTTTTGATTTATATCTCTTTGTACACACACAACCATTGAGCTTATTGTATTTGCATACATTGTATAATTGGGTTGTGGGATTGTGTGACTTAGAGAGTGAACTTACATTGAGTTCTCATCTATTATAGAGAACAAATCTTGTTGTATTTGTGCCTATTTGTGAGATCACTTTGTAATACACTTGTAAACCGAGAGAAGTGTGTGGTGAGAGACGAGGTCGTCTCAAGAGGAGTGGGGTATGTGGTAATGCCTAGAGGTAGGTTGTAATTCCTAACACTTGAGGGAGACACGGGCTAGAGACCAACACTTGAGGGTGTAAAGTGTGATTACAAGAGTGTGAGATTGTAAAGTTTTTGGTGAACTAAAAAACCGAGTGTGAGGTGTAAATGTTATTCGGGTGAGCGTAGAAAACCCGATTGTGATAGTGGAGATCTCCTCGAGGTGAGGAGCGGAGACGTAGATCAAGTGGTTGACCGAACTCTGTGATCATATCGTTTGTTTGAAATTGCATTGGCGCACTTATTTTTGTGTTCATCATTATATCGCCTTTGTCAATTGCCCATTGTTTATATTGCCTACTATCTTATTTATCTTGTTTATGTTTATTTCACCCTTGTGTATATTGCATATCCTTGCTCATATATCTTAATTGCATATCATACTTGCTAGGATATTGTTAATAAATTTTTAATTGGTATTAAATCGGATTAGATTAGCATAAACCCTATTCACCCCCTCTAGGGTTCTTTCCTAGTGGCATTAGGGTCTTTCAACTTCCACATGTAAAATTAGAGAACAACTACGTTAACTGGAAACTATAAACAAAGTCTCACATCTCTTCGGAAAAAGTTTTCTTCTCATAAGAGCATTGAATCTCCTCCATCTCTTCAACATTCTATGATAAACAAAGACTCACATCAATGGAAGAGCATGCAACAATTTGCACATCAAAATAAGAAAGAGATCTAGTAAAGGAAACTTAAAACTAAACTATGAAGTTTGAGCATTTTAAGTCTTCATTTTCACATGTGCCTTAAATCACCCTACAAACTCACAACACAACTAGCTAATTCACGATGCAAGAGCTATGTACCAATTATAGAATGGTCACGATAATTGAACTTACAAGGCAAATTGCACACCCTTTTCACTTTCAGCTAGCTGAAGCCTCCTGCTGTTTCTTCAGCATCGCAGCATGCTTTGACCCGGCAATATGAAAGTTGTACACTATCTGGCTGTTCATAACTACATTGCAGATGGTGCACACTTTTACTTCATTTGGCTTTGTTCCTTCTTCAACAATCCTCCTCTTCTTTGTCTCTAAGGCACTGTTGGGCAACAAGAGATTGTGTCTTATCTAAGAGATTATGTCTTATTGACTTGGTCAATAAGCTAGTAGAACTGTTTGGTGACCAAAAATAGGAGGAGATTATTTTGGAGATTGTGTCTTTTGCAAGTAGCTTTTGGAAAGCTACCTCAAGTAGCATTTGTCTTTGGGAAAGAGCTGCTAATTTTTCTTCTTCCGTTTTTACCCTTAATAATTCTAATTTTATATCAATAATATTGCATGCTTTTTAACCATTTAATAAATTTAAGCTAGTTGTACAGCTTCCTTTGCCAAACAGCTCTAGTCAATCAGCTAGATACACAGCTATCAGCTTTCAGCTACAATTTCACAGCTTTCAGCTAGCTTGACGGCTTTCAGCTATAATCTCATAGCTTTCAGCTAGTTTTGCCAAACAGAACCTAAATCTTCTTCTGGGGCATCCTTTCTCTTTGTTTTCTTAGTTCCTAAAGCATTTACCTCAGCAACCGGAGCTTCCATACTAGTAGGTTCTACAGCTTCGTTGGGTCATATTCAAAACTAACTTTCCTCCATGAAGTACATGTATACAGAAAAAGAACCAAAGTGGATAAAAATGATTCATTAATCATGTTGATGAAACGGAGGAATCAAATGAATGCATCCAATAATATATGGTTAAAAAAGTATTTATGCAATATAGGATTATAGATGCGCAATTAAAGTGAAAGGTTAATTAAGAAAAAGCTTCTGCAAGCAAAAAAAAAAAATTGGCATAGCTTGCATCAGATTTGCTTTACAAAAATTTAAAAGCAAAAGTTCGAGATTTCTTTCTTATTGCTAAAAACCTAAAACACATATTTAAAAATGATCTATAATCATCGGTAGCTACAACCTTACAGACCAAACACCTGATACAAGATCAAGTAGTTGGAAAAATAAGATACAGACGTATTAGTTCAATTTAAGCTTACATTTTCTATATCTCCATTGTACCGAAGAACATTATGGCATAGCTTGCATCAGATTTACTTTGCAGAAATTTAAAAGCAGAAGTTCGAGATTTCTTTCTTATTGCTAAAAATCTAAACACATATTTAAAAATGATCTAGAATCATCGGTAGCTACAACCTTACAGACCAAACACCTGATACAACATCAAATAGTTGGAAAAAAAGATATAGATGCACTAGTTCAATTTATACTTATATTTTCTATATCTCCATTGAATTAGTGATTTGTCCTCTAATGGTGTCATGTCAGAAAACTGCATCCCTTTAAGGCATAGGCATTAAGCAAGAGATAAGAATATATAGGAAAGGAGAAAAGAGAAAGTAGCCAATATTGTTTTCTTCTTTTGCGGACCTCGGTTTAATGGGAGACCTTAGTTTAATGGGCAATGCAACACTAAATAAAGTAGGATCCACATTGATGACCCGCATCGAAAATCGAGTTATTGTATTCCTTTTGCTGATAAACTTTCTAGTGAATATATCCCTTGAATCTCTATTAAGACTTTCATTTAAATAAACCAATTCACATAGAGCTCATAACCTAGCACAATATTGTAAGTTGACAGGATAGAGAAGGGAAGAAAGTCTTCTTTTAAATACGAGGTGATTATAGGCATTGTTATAGGATGACAACAACAAGCATGGATGTCAATATCTTCAGAAAGCTAAATGCTACACCATGCTTAGGCAACAGCATCAAAGGTGTCATAAGTAAAAAATGAGGCATTCAAGACAGAAAATTTCGTGTAGGAAAATCAAAATTCCGTCTAGGATGAGTATCCTAGACGGAATTCCGTCTAGAATATACGTCTAGGAAGTTTCTATCTAGGATGTAGTATTCTAGACGAAAATTTCATCTAGAATACATCCTAGACGGATTATTCTAGACGGAAGTCAAAACCGTCTAGAATACATCCTAGACGGATTATCCTAGACGGAATTTCCGTCTATAATACTACATCCTAGACGAAAAACAATTCCGTCTAGAATGGATATCCTAGACGAAAATTTCCGTCTAGGATACTCATCCTAGACGATTTTTTTTAAAATTTTTTTTAAAAAAACATTCTAGACAGAATTTGAGCATCCTAGACGGAATTTCCGTCTAGGATGCTATGCTACAGTAGTATTTTTTTTTTTGGGAATCTACTTTGAGTGCATGTACATAATATTGAACAACAAAAAATTATATTCATACCCAACACAATCTAATTATATTCCAATATCAAATCCAATTATATTCAAATAATATATTCACCAAAATAGTAGAAAGATACATAAATTATTTACAAACTTTTATATAAATTATTTACAATGGCTATGACACAACAGAAGCTTCTTCAACTCCTTCCCTATACATTTACTCAAGCCCTCTTCTTCTCCTTCTTCACCTTCTTCCTCATCATCCTGAGTGTAACATAAGGACATAAGCAATTCTTACATTTTCTATAAGGAAATAAGATATAAACGTATTAGTTCAATTTATGCTTACATTTTCTATATCTCCATTGTACCGAAGAACTTTATGGCATAGCTTGCATCAGATTTGCTTTGCAGAAATTTAAAAGCAGAAGTTCGAGATTTCTTTCTTATTGCTAAAAACCTAAAACGCATATTTGAAAACGATCTATAATCTTCGGCAGCTACAACCTTACAGACCAAACACCTGATACAAGATCAAGTAGTTGGAAAAATAAGATATAGACGTATTAGTTCAATTTATGCTTACATTTTCTATATCTCCATTGTACCGAAGAACTTTATGGCATAGCTTGCATCAGATTTGCTTTGCAGAAATTTAAAAGCAGATGTTTGAGATTTCTTTCTTATTTCTAAAAACCTGCAGCACAAAGCTAGAACACATATTTAAAATTGATCCTATAATCATTGGTAGCTACAACCTTACAGACCAAACACCTGATACAACATCAAATAGTTAGAAAAAAAGATATAGATGCACTAGTTCAATTTATACTTATATTTTCTATATCTCCATTGAATTAATGATTTGTCCTCTAATGGTGTCATGTCAGAAAACTGCATCCCTTTAAGGCAAAGGCTTTAAGCAAGAGATAAGAATATATAGGAAAGGAGAAAAGAGAAAGTAGCCAATGTTATCTTCTTTTGCGGACCTCAGTTTAATGGGAGACCTTAGTTTAATGGGAGATGCAACACTAAACAAAGTAGGTTCCACATTGATGACCCGCATCGAAAATCGAGTTATTGTATTCCTTTTGCTGATAAACTTTCCAGTGAATATATCCCTTGAATCTCTATTCAGACTTTCATTTAAATAAACCAATTCACAATATTGTAATTTGACAAGATAGAGAAGGGAAGAAAGTCTTCTTTTAAATAAGAGATAATTCTAGGCATTGTTAATGGATGACTACAGCAAGCATGGAAGTCAATATCTTCAGGAAGCTTAATGCTACACCAGCATCAAAGGTGTTCGACAAAATTGTCACTTTAAGACCTCCCTTCTTGGTCACAAAACAATTACACATACACGCTAATCCAAATTTCTAGCCTCTTTTCATCTCCATGCACATCCATTCTCTTGCAACATAAAACTTTGGAATACCTTAACAATCCTGATCCCACATGAAGAGCTTGTTGATTATGGAGTGATTGCTTCCTGCAGCTTCCGAAGATTTTTCTTGTGCTTCTTCCCTTGTTTATGGGTTTCAAGGACTTATCAAGTCCTTGAAACCCATAAACAAGGGAAGAAGCACAAGAAAAATCTTCGGAAGCTGCAGGAAGCAATCACTCCATAATCAACAAGCTCTTCATGTGGGATCAGGATTGTTAAGGTATTCCATCAGAAAATACTATATTACACTCAATCTCACAAACCTCACAATATGCTGATTGTGCCATCTTGCTCATGTGGGAGCCATCTTTATGCCTCTTTCATAGTTTATATGGAGCTCGTATTGGCCGGGCAGAGATTGATGAGGGACTGCAGGATTCAATCCATTCAGAGGTCCGAGAGCAACCTGTATGACACAGTCATGCTAAATTGGGATAAAAAAAATAATGATACAAGACAGAACTCGAAACATAACTAAAATAAAATAATACAACATTGAACATTCACTTTTGATGGAAATTTAAATATCACGAAGACAAGTAGCTACGGCAATTGCTACGGCAATTATGTAAACGGCAATTGACGTGCCACAGTGTATATAAGATAGATATATTGTAGCATGTTCCTAAGAATTTATGAACTTTTGCGCTACATCAACAATTAGAAGGTGCATATTACATCAAGTAACAAAGTGGTCATGCAGATGAACATTTTATAAGAAAATGAAGATCTGTATAGTTTCCATATACATGCATGAGAAATTGTCATAACCATCAGAAAGAAAAGTGAAGCATTTACCTCAGCTACTGGAGCTTCCATATTAGTAGGTTTTACAACTTCGTTGGGTTTGGGAGTGATTGCTTCCTGCAGCTTCTGAAGATTTTTCTTGTGCTTCTTCCCTTGTTTATGGGTTTCAAGGACTTGTCGGCTATTACACTCAATCTCACAAACCTCACAATATGCTGATTGTGCCATCTTGCTCATGTGGGAGCCCATCTTTATGCCTCTTTCATAGTTTATATGGAGCTCGTATTGGCCGGGGAGAGATTGATGAGGGACTGCAGGATTCAATCCATTCGGAGGTCCGAGAGCAACCTGTACGACACAGTCATGCTAAATTGGGAAACAAAAAAATATGATACAAGATAGAACTCGAAACATAACTAAAATAAAATAATACAACATTGAACATTCACTTTTGATGGAAATTTAAATATCACGAAGACCAGTAGCTACGGCAATTATGTAAACGACAATTGACGTGCCACAATGTATATAAGATAGATATATTGTAGCATGTTCCTAAGAATTTATGAAGTTGTGCGCTACATCAACAATTAGAAGGTGCATATTGCATCAAGTAACAAAGTGGTCATGCAGATGGACAATTTATAAGAAAATGAAGATCTGTATAGTTTCCATATCCATGCATGAGAAATTGTCATAACCATCAGAAAGAAAAGTGTGGGAACCATTATTGAATTTTAGCTCCCATTATAACAAGTGGAATCGGATTTGTCACTGATATTTCCCTATGCATCCGAGTCTACATTTCAGAAACAATATTGATGTTTGATGAGATTTACGCATTGGCCCCAAAAATTCTGGGATAAAGGTTTGTTCTCATTGTAGATTATTTCTATTGACATTCATGACTTGGCAGCGTTTAAGACAATTCAATATTTGATTTAAAACGACATGCTGGTACTTGCACGCATATGGTTCTATTGGATATTATGGATAGCAGAAATGACAAAATCCCACAGGTCAATCCAGATTTTTTGATACCATTAATGCAAGCCACCCATGATCTTTGAGTAAGACAATGAATATTTAACACCATTAACGACCACCATGGTAAGCAGATTCCCCGGTCCAAGTTTAATCAGCATGAATCTCTCTCTAAATGGTGGAACTTGTTTTTTTTTCTAAATCAATTCAAGGGTCTTTCACTAACAAATATGAACAATATAACACTAACATTAAACCATATGCATATGCTTCCATTTAATTATGGAAAAAAATTTACTTTTCTAGATTCAACAGATTATTTATAGCCAGATACCGCTATCGGTACCGACCCCTGTGTCGACAATTGCAATGCATGAATTCCAATAGCATAAGTTAGAGACCTATAATGTGAATATATTGACCTAACTATGCTACTCCCAAACATCATTAACACTTAACCACTAATTAAGTTTGTCTTAATCATCTTTTAACACAACATGATCATGACAACTTGACACAAAACCCCCTCCACCTTGTTATTTTGGATAGGCAAGACACCCTAGAATGGGGTACATAATTTTGCAAATAAATCCTCCAAATTACATGGTATTCCATTTCCAAATGTCACATAATCATGACTATAAATACCCACAACCTCTCTCTCTCTCTCCCTCCTCCTCCTCCTCCTTTCCTTGCATGAGAGAAAAACTCCCATTTTCTTCCTCACCTCTCCCTTCTAGACCAGCCGCACCACTACCCCAAAACCCCATTTCCTTTTTCCAATTCCCCTCTACCAAGCTCTCTGTCAACATAGAAGAAGAAGAAGAAACAAGGAGAAAAGGGTGACTGCCGGGAAGGCTTGATAGAGGGGAGTTTAGAGCCACCATTAGGTATCCACTAAAACCACTTCACATTTTTTATTCTCATTAAATTTGAAAATTGACAATGTTTATCTAATTTGGTCATGCATGAGCTATTTTTGTAGAATGAACCCTTGCCTGTAGGACTTAGATGGCTTTTGTACATGCATGTCACTCTAAGATGAAAACGAAAACATCTTTACGCATCCTAATGAAGAAAAATTGTTATCTTCCATGGTTCTTAGTCCCTTAACGTTGAATTGTGGTGGTCTTTGCTCTGGTTAGTGGCTAAATAAGCATGCATGTCGATATTTGTAGCATCAGCCTTGTGCAGCAGTTTTCTGCAGAACATATCGTTAGTAAATTGAGAACATTTTTCTCTAGACAAACCCTTTTTAAGAATGGTTTTCTGTTTTAGAAACTAGATTCACACAGCTTTCCTTCGGCACTGGTTTGGTTCAATTTGGAGTTTATTTATTTTCTCAATTTTTCAGCTAAAGTTTATGCACGTGCACTGGAAAGACAACTGACCCCTCTTGGATTGTTTTGCATGTAACTTTGTCTCTTGTTTGGATAAAATAAGATGGGTTTTGGTTTTGAAAGTAAACTCATCAAGCTTCTTTCAGTAGGAAAATTATTAGATCTTGATGCAATTTATTGATAGAATCAAGTGAGTGATTCAGATGGTGTTATCTGTAAACTGCATGCCGTTGAAATGCTGACACCCATGCACTATAAAGGCCGTATCTCTCTACAGAAAATTCATATTCACAAACTATTTTTAATCTTGGAAACTAGACTCGTATAGGAACATGCTGGCTTTTATTTCACTAATTTTAAATTGTTTGACCACTCATCGAGTCAATTGAATCAGCTAATATAAACTGCATTTCACAGTTTGTGCATATCTTGCATATTTGAGCGTAACTTACCCCCTCAGTATTGGAATAATGAACCATTTGTTGTCCTAGAAAATAGACTCATGTAAGAGCATTTTGACACTAGCTTCATGCAGGATATTATTTTCTTCCTCGTTTAGCCATCTCAATCTACTGTGTACACTGTCTTTCGCTGAATATGCATACCATGACAGTTCAAATGTAACCTATTCAAGCAAAACTTATGACATAAAATAATTTGTAAGTTAGGTGGACAACACAAGTTTTAGCTGCTGGAATCTTACATATGTATGTATGTATGTATATATAGGAGTAGGACCCTTGGACTTGCATACAGATACCATGGAAACAACGTCAGATAACCAGCGGGTAACTCTTTTCTTTGTTTGTTTTCCAGTACTTTAGAACTTCAATTCTATACTTTCTTGCTTCCATAATACTGTTTTTTTATATTACCTCATGCGTGGTTTGTTTGCCATATACTTGTCATGTGTAATATCTTTGTTTGATCACCTTGACATTATACCATAGAATGATCAAGTTAAAATAGATGTCTTTCGCCTAAAGTCTCTATTGTCTTAAATGATAACATTTGTTATTTAATATGTGATATTGACTCGTGTTGGACTTTTGAAGTTCATGAGAACTATTGTCTTTGTTGATGCTCTATGTTCATGGATTGATGCCCTTTACATGAGGTAACTCACTAGTGGGTGGTATTAAGTCCCGAAGGGACATGCCCTTTAATCGAGGTTACTCACCCGCGGGTGATTTATTTAAGGCATGTGTGATTATTATTTGATGAATCCCGTAATCTGGAATTTTAAGCTTGAATTATGAGCATTGCTTGTTTATTGTTGATATCTGCAAAGTTTTATTTTCAGTTGTCAACCTTATTAATCCCTTCTTTTCATGGTTGTACCCTAATTTTCATTATGGTTACCTATTGAGCCTCACGCTCACCGCTATTCTTGCTGCATCCATTTGCAGGTAGCGACCAGCACAAAGGCAAGGGGATTGCAGATCCCACTGAAGAATAATCGCAAGTGTTTAGCCTCAACATTTGTACTTAGTTACTATTGTAAAACCTTTTTTTTTTGTATATAAATGATGTAATAACACTTAATGTCTACGTATAACCGTTCCCTTAGGTTCCCTCTGTTTTCCATGCTTTTATTCAAGGATGTATACATATGTTGTTGCATTTTGCTTTTAGTATTACATTGTATAGGTGCACATATAAGGTTTGAGCTAGTTGACCCTCCTTGTTACGACCGGGTCATGCCCAAATTTTTATATATCTTCTAAGGCTCTGCCTTCATAGCGATTTGGGGCCGTTACCGGGGATTGATTTATAGGGTTGCGTCGAAAACTATGTTATGTTTAAAAAGCTATACAACTAAATAAGCGGAAGTGAATAACCAAGCAAGCAATCAAAGACATATATTATAGCACTTTCTCAACAAATTTTAAGTCTTTTGTTTTAAGTGTAACTCCTTATAGTAGTTTGTAACCCTTTATCAACAAAGTATAGCTCCTTCCTTATTAATTCTGTCATTTCAAAAAGGAAATAAACGTTTGGTTTCTATTTGCTAGGAAATATTTGAGGATGGTAGGAGTGATAGAATGAACATAATTTGCTAATATGAAGCTTGGTTTGGATGTGGTTTTGATGTCTGATTGAGATTGAAATGATTATGATTGTTCTCATTACAGCATTTTGTCAAACATGTTGTGGATGTTATGTTGTGGATGTTAGTAAAAAGTATCACAATCGTAGGAGGGGGGGAGGGAGTGATGGGCGCATATGTGTAGAAGTGTATAGGATTGAATGAGGGAGGCAATAGTGAATGGGGTGAGGTCCATGAGGAGGAGCCTGAGGCAGTGAGAACAGATTGAAGGAGATGACAATAGTTAGTATGTATTGATAGAGGAAGAAGATGAGAGTACCTGTGGGAATTTAATATTTGTAAAAGTATACATTATACAAATACACTAAATTCATATGTTTTAGTTTAAAAATAACTCACTTAGGTATTTTCGGTTTAAGGGTGTTTCTAGAAGTGGGTAGGTTTATAAATAAGTTGGGTTAAAACTTTGGCTTTAAATACAAAAACCCCTAAAAAACCCTAGCCGACTAGCCCTCTCATCTCCGATCCCCCTCATCTCTCCATCTACAAGATTCTCAGAATATCAAAATCCTAGTAACATCCTCCCCATCCCTCTCCCTCTCCGGCCACCCCCGGTGAGTCTCACCTCTCCTCCTTCCATTGTCCAGGCCTTCCATCTATTGACGGTAAGTTTAACTTTTTTATTTTTCCATTGTTTATTCACTTTATGCACTTTTTTTAATTGTTATTCATTGTTTTTGTTGTTTGTTAGAAAAATTAGTTAATTTTGTTCAGTTCTAGTTTAATTTGTTTTAATTCACTATTATCTAGTTGATTAATTAGTTTAGTTAGTCTTTGAGAGTCACTAGTTTAGGTGCCACCGTTCAATTTTAGGGTTTACTAGTTTAGTTGATTAATTATTATTTTAATGTCAATGTTCAATTTTAGGGTTGTTTACTAGTTTAGTTGATTAATTATCATTTTAATGCTACTGT